TGCAGAGCTGGAGAAAAGCTTATATGTCGTCCTTTTGTTTCGTTTCACACTATGATTATGGTGTTTTTCTTGAAGAATGACGCTGTTTCTGTGAGAACGAGGTCTGGTTGGAAATGGGGTGAAGGGGGAGGGAATGGGGAATTGCTTGAAAATCTTTATTTGGTCAATCACTGGATTGCAACATGTATTTAAAGTATTCTTTATATCTAGCTGAAGTTTGTTTTTTGTCTATCTTCTTATTACATTTATCTCAAGCTTTTCTCTGCTCTAATCTAAAATGTTCCAAAATTTTCAGCTGGCTCGCGTTTGGTGGTGAATCGCCGACGCCAAGAGGGCAATCCGGTGTTGAAGTACGTAAGAAATGTCCGCTATGAATGGGGTGATATAGGAACGGATTTCGAGTGTGGACCAACATGCGGAGTACTGTACTTGGCATTGAAGGTAAATCTAGGATTTTAATCAAATCAACAAGAACATGATTGTGTTGTTATTTGTAAAGAGAAAATCAACATTTGCTGCAAACAGATTTGAAGAAAAAAATTTTTTTCAAAGATTTTCATAACATGAATTGAAAAAGATAAACTTTTTAGACGATTGAATGGTATTTGAAATAAATTTTTTCAATAAAAATTAACGTTGAAACTAATAGTCAAATACCCATATTCAGCTAAGAACTCACATAAACAAGAGAAAATAAAGTGAGAATGAACAACTGACTTACTGAATGAGTGCATTGGGTGGACCAGTGAAAGAATGAGAAATAATTAAATTTTTAAATAATAGATGAATGCATAATTTACCTTTGACAAAAATAATTATTTGACATACAAAAGAATGTTTTGCGTGATCACCTGTGAAAAGAAGAGGATTGAATTTGCCTTTATTTAGAATTACAAAATAGAGAGTGTAAATTGCAGGTGACTGATTGTATCCATAGTTTATGAGAAGAGTACTTTTTATTTTCTATACTAAAACAAATGCTTTATTGAGAGTTACTGAAAAAAAATGTTTCCCAATATTGGGAGAGAAAAGTATCATAAGACATAGGGTAAAGAAATATTAGGTGAAGTAGTTTGCTAAAGTTTCATATATTTAAACGAGATAAAGCAAATCGATGTTTTATGGTTGATTTCTAGTATCATAAACTGCATCCCAACTACATCCTTACCCGATTATCAGGAAAAGAGGAGAACAAATATGCCTGCAAGGTCGGTTTAATGATTTTTCAAAAGAAAAATCGTTTGTTCCTACATTTCTAACCTATTCTTTGAAACTTAGTGTATAAAAATAAACTATCATGTTCCCTTCAATTTTAAGAGTTTTGATATTTTGCAGATACTTCTCGCTCTTTGCAATGTTGATGAACCGAGACACACGCTCAGAGAGTTGAATTTGTTATGCTATCGCATGGATTGGACCCTTGTACTGTGCTACTCGGTATGTAAAATAATTTTCTAATTTTTATATATGAGCCAACAATTTATTTATTTATTTTTATCCTTGTTTTATGCGAAATTGATATGCTCTACAGTAAAACAAATTTAGATTTCAAGACTAATCCATGCCATTTTCTCATTTTACTATGTGTTTTATTGCTCATTTTTGTTCTGATTTTGCTTACAAACATCTTTTTCTTTGTAGGTTGAAGAAGCTGCTGAATACATCGAAAATCTGAAGTTAGCTGACAACAGGGATCCAACCTTCAAGTACGACATTCTCAGTCTTCT